TCCACAGAGATGTGCAGGCGTACAGGCTGTGTGACTCACGCTCCACTCTCCACTCGGATGGAGCGGATGTTGTCCAGGCCGCAGTTGTGGATGTTGCAGCACTCGGAGGTGAACTCCAGACACTTGCCCTGGAAATGCTCCCGCTCAAACACAGTCACCTGCACACAGGGCAAGACAGGGGGAGGCATGAGGGTGTGTGTGTGTGTGTGTGTGTGTGGGTGGGGGGTGTGTAGGTGTGAGTGAGAGTGTGTATATGCTCACCTTAAAGAAAGGGGCTGTATCCATGCTAGGGAAGTACATGGGTGAGGTCATGTGGGTTTTAGTAAATCTACTCATTTCTAAAGTGAAAAACAAAACAAAAAAACATTTTAATTTGTTGGATAACAACAAGATGATTCTTCTTACTGGACTGTAACAACAGTGTTTACCACCATATAAATTAAAACTATTTTATCTGGAACTTCTCATGCTGCCAACAAGTTCTTGATTACATGAGAGCAACTACATTTCTGGGTTAGTTCGGAGAAGCCAAAACAAACATTTACTCCGGTAAGTAAGTATAGGACAAGTGAGTCCATCCCGTGGGAATGTTCCTGCTTACCTGGATGCTCTCTGCTCTCCTCGCGCTACTCCCACTCGAAATCCTCTTTACGTAGACTTTTGTCTGGACCTGGCGCTTCGGTTTTATACCGGCGTCCACGCGGGAACCTCGTGCTCGCGCGTGTGCGCGTGTTGCACCTCCGCGTTTACGATGTAAACGGGGCGACTTTGTCGTGTGTGAAGTTCACCCGAATTCAGGATGACACTTCCGTTTAGGGTCTTCAGAATTAAGCTCTGTAGTGAACAACGTAACACCTGTACAGAGCTGTACAATGATCATTTGAAGTGGTTGAAGTATTAAAATGAAAATTAAAGATACAATGATGTGGTTTTTTTGCGTTTTTGCGTTACCAAAAGATTAAGGGAATAACTGAAAGTTCATCCATAGTTATTTTGATAATTAATAGAAGTCATTAAAGCCAAATAATTTGAGTTACTTTTCTCAGATTTAGCTTTCAACAACATAAATGTCAGCATATTTTGGAAGTCATATTAAAGAATAAACAATTAAGTGCCTAACAGATACATTAATTGGCAGATTGTTACCAATACACATAAGGAAATATGACAAAAAGTAGGTGAGCATTCCCGTGGGAGGCCTATTAGGCCCTATAGGTAATAGATTCATGGTTGTTGCCCTGCTTCTGAACCGGCCTCAGAACCATTAAGGCTTTTATTTTGAAGGCAGGAGGAAGGAGATTTCCGGTATTCCTATGTCTAAATATGATTAACTTGACTCAGGTGAGCGTTAACCTCCTCTGCTCCTCAGTGCTTATGTTTGTGCGTCAAAAACTGTTTGTCCGCGCGCGCGCGTGCCGGTGAGCTGGTTGCCCATCTCTCTCGCTCTCTCTTTGTAACCCTATGCGGCCTGTCGACTCAGCAGATCATATAGAGCGCAGGCACAGAGGTGAGGCTGGGGAATGCGGGTCTGTTGTTGATCTATTCGTACAGGTCAGCAGTGCCATCGTATAGGGCGACAATGGCCCGGGCTATAGGCAGAGAATGAGAAGGATTTGGAGAGCCGTCGGGGAGCCTGTTTCTGTGGTGGCTCCCAAAAGTCGAGGAAACTGGGACAGAGGAATTTAATTAATGATGATGATTATTAATGAAGGAGAACAATATGATAATAATGTTCTCTTACTTTTCAGATATGTGAACTTTGTGGGACACACTTAATAAAGGCATCCTGAAATAGTTCACCTTCCAGTTCACAGATACATGTAGTGTATGAGGATGCAACACTGACACAACTGTTGTATTACACATTGATAGTGTCATAAGTGGGTTGATGCTTTGCTGGATGAACAGATGGATGGACAGTTCAATGGACTTTCTGTTATGTAGTAGTTGGTATAAAGGCCTCAGTGGGACATGAAAGAATGAGATGCACAACTACTTTTATATTTGCCAAAAGTGGTAAACTTAACTTCATGGTTTTGCCCTTTAAAGGAGAATATTTCCCATTAAAAATGAATGAAAAAGAAAAACAGAGAAGCACTGAAAATGAAAATGACTTTGTGACTATGTTGAAATACTGTCTAGAAGCTGGGCCTGTGTCACATCCACAGAGCAATTGTTGCACTGATGTTGTTTTAATGTAAACCCCCGAGTCCATCACGTGACACAATGGGCCACAGTTGCCACAGCAACATCCCCCCTAACCTCATCTGGTCCTCTGTCCTTGACATTTCATCTAGAGAGCATATCGGGAGGCTGACACCAAGTTCTCCAAGTGTGTGTGTTCACTGTCACGCAGACACACACACACACACACAGTCACGACCAACATCACAACGGCATTTCTGAAGTCACTGCTCTACCACCACTCTGCACCAACAATCTTTTATAATGGAAGTGAAGACTTGTGTATCTAGTGTGTTATAGCACTTCTCAAATCTGCATTTTTCAGGTAGTACATGTCTTGTCACTCTTTGAAAATAACTCAAAGGACTGAGAGTTTTGCAGGATTAAGCACTATAAAAGTCGTCACTCCACAGAGGACTACCTCTTAGTTTATAAATCTAATGTGGGTGTACATCATTATCTGCTGGAGGACACTCAGTATGCTCCACTTAACTTGAATTTGGTTCTGGCTATAAATATATAAACTTTTCAGATATGTGAACTTTGTGGGACACACTTAATAAAGGCATCCTGAAATAGTTCACCTTCCAGTTCACAGATACATGTAGTGTATGAGGATGCAACACTGACACAACTGTTGTATTACACATTGATAGTGTCATAAGTGGGTTGATGCTTTGCTGGATGAACAGATGGATGGACAGTTCAATGGACTTTCTGTTATGTAGTAGTTGGTATAAAGGCCTCAGTGGGACATGAAAGAATGAGATGCACAACTACTTTTATATTTGCCAAAAGTGGTAAACTTAACTTCATGGTTTTGCCCTTTACATCAGCCAGGCTCCAGACATTGAACACATGGCTGTTTGAAGAGCATGTTTTATTAGTGCACATTCAAAAATGTCATTCTTTGCTGTAGTTCATCCTCATCAGCTCAGCTGCAGTATATTAATACTCCAAATAAGCATGTATGGTTTGATTATAAAGAGCCGGATCACAGTCTCAAATTATGAAGTTATGTTCTGGTTTACAGGTGTGGCCAGGTATGAATGTTAAAAATGTCCTATACCTTCAATTCCAAGGATATTCATGCAGGATAAAAGACCTTCACATACGCTGCTTTGCAAGCATCATAAATGTGATTTGATCTCCACCTAAACTTTATTTTATGATCAAAATCCAAGGTCTTAAAGTTCTTTAATAACAGATTTTTAAATCATAAATCAGTTACTAAGAAATGTAATAGTTTTCATTAGGTATGGACATCATGTCATTCAGGGCCGATTTCAAAAGTTGATTTTTATCGTCATATACATGAAATGTGAGCTCTGCATTTAACCCATCCTAAGCATTTAAGAAGCAGTGAGCTGTGAAGTGCCGAGGGAGCAAGTTGAGGTTCAGTGTGTCGCTCAAGGACACTTTAATATGCGGACAGTAGGACCCTGGAATCGAACCGCCAACCTTGTGGTTAAAGGACGACCGTGTCCTGTATGTGAATGTTTTATATGAATTGCATGTCTCACACGCAACAATGTGTGTTATCATATGAATTATTTTATGCCGCCATTCTGACCCAGTTTATTTGGAAAAAAGAGATAATGTATCACAATAACTTTCCTCTGAATACCAATTTCTTTTACACAAAAAATGCATTTATTCTCCTTTTGTTCTCATCTGCTCTGAGAAGTGTTTTGTCAGCTAGACTTTTCTTTTGGATGGTGGACCGGGACTGAATCCAGTCTCTTAATCCCGTCGAGAGTGAAGGACCTCCTCCGCTCTTGACTAGAGGATGGAGGACAGGGAGACGAGGAGCCACAAATAAGAGATGTGCCCACTTGTAACTTCCCCTTGCTGTCGGACACTCCCCCCCGTTCTTCATTCGTTTGACTCAGGACGTTCAGCAGTCACTGAGAGCAAAGTGTGCTCAGTTTAGCCATTCCCTCGTTCCTCCATTGACCTTTTCCTGATGTTCACTTGAGCGCTAGGATTTGAGGAAATACAAACTGCATGATTAATGAGGCCTATCACTGAATCCGAGACACGAGTACTTTTACCTCAAGATCTCATCTGCTGAAGAGCTGCATCCCTTATTTCCCTCCTGTCCTCATCAGCACATGTGAAACCTTGATGTGACGTCATCTGTGTGGACTTGTTCGGATTTACATTCGACTGGGTTGCTTTCTCCCCCATGTGCTTTTTGGATTAAGCACCTCACAGACTAACGCCCACCACAATATTAACACCCACGCAAGAAGAAAAATGCAGAGGGCTGTAATTGAATAGCCTTCTCCCACAGTGATACAGAGATGTGCACTCTCTCAACCTCTTTACACCAAGAGTTGGAACAGCGAGGTTATTGCTTCTCACAGCTTATTGCTTTTCCTGTTATTGTTTGTCCCAGCGCCTCTTGATTACAGAAGTGATGGGACTCGGAGTGAATCATTCTGTGACTGGCCCTTAACCCGGTCAGCCTGGCTGTCATTATTATGAGACTACAATTGGAGTTAGGGCTTTGTATGTAACTGCTCATTCTCTTTTTAGTTCATGGATTCATGTCATGAAAAAGTTATTATGGAGTTATTTTATCTGCCACCAAGTCCTCTGGAGCCAAATATACATAAATGTTCAGTTTGTCACATTTGCTTCCTCATATTCTTCTCTTATTTCAACCCATGTCTCTCTGCCTCTCTTTCTGCCCCTCTCTCTCTCTTTGATGATGGTGGTATTTCTATTCTGTGGGGGCTGTGAGCTCAGCGAGTTTGTTTCTGTGTCTATAATCCCCTGTCTCTGGGCGCCAGCATATAAAAGCGACGAGGGGCCTGGCGCACTCTCACACAGACCACCAGTCTCAGCCCCGAGTCTACTCCTTTACGCACACACTGCCACAGGTAAGACAGTGGACACACATCATACAGAACGAGCAAAGACAAGAAATGAGGGAGGTAGAGAGCAAGAAGAGCCTGATGTAATACCTAGTTATGAGAAAAGTCTATTGTAGTTTGAGCTCAAGATATGAAAGTCAAACTGGCTAAATGTGAATTTCTTTTTGCGCAAAGCAAACAGCTGTCACTAAATCTACAGTTTATTCTGTGTATATACTCAGAATAAACAGTAGAAATTATGCTAAACTAATGTTAACTGGTGGATCCTAAAATATAACTTTAAAATCAAGTAGGTTCCACAAGACAGCACATCAATTGTTTAATGTTTAAAGCTACAAAAGATTGTATTTAGAAAAATCTATTTATATGTTATATATTCATTTATTAAAAGGGTTCAGTTGTTTTGTTATAGGTTTTTTTTTGTAGGATTTTCTTTTGGACTTTATTTTGAGAATGTTTTTTGATGGTAGAAGTTTTGACATTTTATTCTATAACGTAAGTGTAAAGCAGTGACAAGTGACAAGATAGTGATGTGTGGAGGAAAGTCTAACCTGAATTCAGTTCTGTTGTTTATATAGAAAATGAATAGAGGTGGGGTGTCGGGGTGTCGGGGTCAGGAAAGAGGGAGGTTATTTGCTTTATTCTTTTTCTGAACGGAGGAAAATCTAAATCTTTAAATACAGTATTGTGTAATATTACTTTGAGATATTGTGGGTAGGGTGTTATATTCTGTCTCTTAGTAAAAGAGAGGGTCCAAAGAAAATATTAACATCAGTTGAGTGGGCTTTGCTTTCTATATAATTGAATAATAATGTTTAACTCCATCCCCACCCGAATCATTGTCATACAGTCCCTTCATGTGATATTTACTAATGATTGAAAGCATCTTCTGTTCACAGTTATTATGTCTGCTGGAGGAGAGAAATCCAAGTCTGCTTCCCAGACTGATGGGAAGGCCGCTCAGAACAAGATGTCTGATATGGGCATGATGGCCTACAAGGTACAGCACACACACACACACACAGTCTTTTTCACACAGTGTGAAGCAGCTGGCCTCTCACTAACAGTTTACCTTCAGGCTGATGTCTTTTATCACGACCAGCCAGTTCTTACAGCTCAGTGAGGGGGCGGTTGACAACTACTCCTGACAGAAAAGATTACCATGTGAGGCCTCTATGCGTTCAGTCACTGTGGAGAAAGCTGTCACCATTTCAGTTTACTCTACCTGCATCTTGTTTAGCACAGTCTCTCTAACCTGTTTCTGCTCTCCTCAGGTGTTGCTTTGGATTCTGAAAGCACCTCTGCGACCTCCTTATTCACTCTCACTCTCTTTATTTTGCCCCATCTATCCAGATGTGTGTGTACGACCAGGAGAACTTCCAGGGCCGCTGCATTGAGATCAACGGCGAGTGTATGAATGTGTGTGACATGGGAATGGACAGGGTGCGCTCCCTGCGCGTTGACTGCGGACCGTAAGTAGCCTGTGCACGTACAGCTTGCAAATACACACCCACCTGCAAGTAATCATGCTGTACCCAACACCCACACTCATCTGAGCACGGAGCAGGCAATTTCAAAATTGTACCTCACCATTATATGACATTTCACACTTCACATTTTAGGGACGTAGCTGAGGCTTTTATCCTGCGTGTTTTGCAGCAGTGAGAGTGCAGCAGTAGAATGAACTATCTGACGTAGTAACATGGCAAAGCAATAAACAGCAATAAAGCAATAAAAGAAGTGCAGCAATTTTGCAGCAATTTTGTATCAATGTGGACCAATAAAAGTATAATTAAGGAGATGAGTAAGGCAAGTGCAAATAAGCCAGTAGGAAGAAGACAGGAGAAGAGTGTCAACTTATTCATCATGCATGAAGTGGACATCTTCAGGGTTATTTTTAGTAGCAGTACTCTTTGTGATGAATAAAAAAATCCTTGTGTAAATTCAGTGGTTTGTACGTTTAAAAGTCAAAACAATGATTGTCCATCATACTTAGCTCGTCGCCTTCCTCCCGTCTCATCCTTGTGACCTTTCCTCCCCTCCTCAGCTTCGTGGGCTTTGAGCAGATGAATTTCTGTGGAGAGATGTTCATCCTGGAGAAGGGCGAGTATCCCCGCTGGGACTCCTGGAGCAACTGCCAGAAGAATGACTACCTGCTGTCCTTCAGGCCTGTCCGCATGGTAAACCCCCTGTCTTTTAGGAAACAAGTGGTGTGACTTTGTAAGCTTCTTTTCATTTACACTACTTTTCTACATCGTCTATCTCTTCTCACTGTTTCCTCCTCGTTTTCTTTCCACACAAAATCTTCCAGGATCCTGAGAAGCACAAGATCTGCCTGTATGAGGTTGGACAGTTCAAGGGCCGTAAAATGGAGATTATGGACGATGACGTCCCCAGCTTGTTTTCCTACGGTTTCACCGACAGAGTGGGCAGCATCATGGTCAGCTGTGGAACGTGAGTAGTGTGGCACCATCCTACAAACATTTTCTAAAACTGTTTTAAAAGAATAGTTAGCGTTTTTGGGAAATCCATTTACTCGCTTTCTTGCTCAGACTCAGGGTTAGCTCTTAGTTTAGTATAAATACTGAGAACAGTTAGCATGGCTCTGTTCGGATTAAATAAACCAAATGTAATGTGCTTATGAGTGCTTTAGAGGTGCTGGTAGGCTGACAAAGCCCAGTTAGCTGTCTCCACCAAGCAGCAACCTCTGGTGTTCAGAAATGAGGACAATGTGACACTTGAGGTTTTTAATTTCACTTTTAGGGCGTGGTCACCTGACAGTGACTGCGTCGCTACCATGGGTTGTAGTTAATAAGCATGTTATTTGCTTGTCACAATACCAAACTCGAGGCTTCCAAGCGGTAGTCAACAAACCAATGAGGGACGTCACGGTGACTACGACAACTTTTATATACAGTCTATGGTTTCCCCATATTTGCGGTCTCTATTTTAAGCTAGCTTAGCTTAAAATACTGCTAACTGTCTGCTGGCTGTAGCTTCATATTTAGCGTACAGACTTTAGAGTGGTATTGATCTTCTCATCTAACTCTCCATGGAGCTGTAACTCGGCTATCTTTTCTCTATTTGCAACTCCCAATAATCGAATCGTACATTTTTCAACAGTTTTTTGAAAACCTGCAAAACCCTGCTTTTGCATCGGCTGCATGAAAAAGTCCAGCTGCATGCACCGCCGCATGTGTCAGAGACAGTTACCACATTGTGTCGTCTCTCTCAAACTGCAGCACAATCTATTTGAGAGAGAGGGAGTTCAGAAATAGAAGTTTTTTCATCTGCAGCTCGCCGAAGGTGTCATGAACGTCAGCAGTTCAGTCTCTGTCGGTGCTCTCAGAGGTGTGACAGACAGCCGGCACTGTTTCTTAAATGCTGTAATTACTTCATTTGCTGCGCTCCCAGCCATCTCAAACATCTGTGATTTGGCATCTGACAGCATGACAAACAGATCGATGACTTTACTTGTTTGATGTTTATCCTCCCTCTGCATCTGTGCTTCTAGCATCTTTCTCTCACATTTGACTTCTCTGTTACTCATCTTTAAATTGTTTTTTTCCCTTGAATCTATTTTCTCTTAATTAAATTTTTTCCTTGTTGTTTCTGATTTCTGATTTCTCATACAACCTTGAAATCCTTCCCTACCACTTTGACAATGTAAATTCTTTCCCCCCTTCTCCTCCACTTCTTTCTCTCCTCAGCTGGGTGGGTTACCAGTTCCCCGGCTACCGTGGCAGCCAGTACCTGCTGGAGAAGGGCGAGTACAGGCATTTCAACGAGTTTGGCGCCCGCTGCCCCCAGATGCAGTCCATTAGGCGCATTCGTGACATGCAGTGGCACCCACATGGCTGCTACACCATGTCCTCCAAGTGAAATCCAGCGAGGGCAAGGAAGAGAGGGATCGGAGGAGAGACGGAGGCTGAGGGCGGCCACAGAGATGGAAGGGGAGGCTGTGGAGGGAGGGCAAAGAAGGAGAGGAGGAGGGAGAGGGTGTAATATGTTCTCCTTCATCCCAAAATTCCCTTGGCAGTTAGAATGCAGGATAAAGGGAATACAGTCGGTTATCTTTTGTTTTTGCAACATTGTAATCTAGTGAGCAATTAAAAGTTACTTAAAGTGAAGGAGGAGATAATTACACGGACCGTTGAGACTGGATCTGATAATAAACGGTCTCTCCACTTTTGCTCTCCCTCTCTGTCTGTGAGCTCCCTTCTCCCCACTTTCCTCCTTCTCCTCCCCTCCCTCCCTCTCTCCCCCTCACGCGATTCTCTTCCACATCCCACCAACGTCAGCCCTCACTCAGCCTATTAGAGCCTCACTGAGGTGGGCACCAGTGTGGATTTGTGTGTGTTTGTGTTGTGGGGGATCGGAGACCAACAAAAGCCGCAACAAGTAAAGTGGTGGCAAATATTTTGTGCTCAGATCCTGCAGCCACATCAACCCTAAACCCCAATAAAGCATCTCACATCCTGCTCCACTTGAAACAAAGTCTTATTTAACAGATACGTTTGTGATATGCATGTCCCAAAAGCATAGATATGCTAATTTAATCAGGAGTTGGAGGACTTACATTCATGCATCAGGTGAACAGAAACATGACTCCAAGTGAATGCTAATGTTGCTCTGTATCTGCTGGATGTGGAAATAGTAAATAGGCACCTTTGTTATGTCAATTTAAAAGGAGATTATATGTCGAAGTTGTGTTTATGGCTTGTGTCTGCTGCCCCCAAGTGGTAAAACAATGTGTTAAAGCGTAACTTCCCTGATTTAACACATCAAGGTCTGTTCACAGGTGTTGGGGAGTATTGCTCTGTTCAAAACGTCTGCTAAATTGCAGCGTTGGTTGGGTCTGAGGACCACAAGTTTGAAAATGAAAAAAAATCCCCCAAATGTGTGTGGGGTTAGAAAGAAGTTATTTTACCGGACCTCTGTAGCCCGCTCCTCATCTGTGATTGAGGCATAGCGGCTCCAGACAACATTGGGCACTACCAGCACAACAAACATGAATCTCTGACCGAACTATCGGTGGTCAAGTTGCATTTGGATTAATTTAATAAGCTTTCTCCCTTGAGCAGATGAAGGTGAAAACAACCTTCTAATGTCAAGCTCTGCACATACATCATTCTGCACAGTGAAGCTCAAACATTAGAGTGAAGGAACAATAAGAAAATACATTTTTGAGTGGAGGGGGGTAGTTTAAAAGATCTGTAAGAAAAAACAAATCCTCATTTGGCTGAAATGTTAATAACACTAATCACACAGCAGTTTTTGTGTTTAGTAATCCATCCGTGCTCAACTGAGCAGCCTGTCTTGTCCATGGTAACTCTTATCACCTGGAATGACACATTACATTGGAAATTGCATCATTATAGAAAATGTAAAAGAACCAGCCAGAGCAATGCCAAAGAAACAAACTGCACCACTTCAAATAACTTGAAGAATGGACCAGCTCACTGAATTTGGTATTGTTGGAGCACATCTTGAGGTAATTTGAGATTTCGATCCTGAGTCCACACACAGTGTGATCACTCAACACAACGCTTAGTGCAGAGACACATATTTGATTTCTACTGATGGAACAATTTGGACCAACATTGTTAATGTGTGAAAGAAGAAAGCACTCCATCTCTGTGCTATATAGCACTCTACCTACAACAGCACATTATGCTTTGGAGCGTTCTATGATTTCATGCATTATTTATCTTTCCAAAGGGAATGTTAATGCAGGTTATGGTCTGCAAATGTCAGCAGCAAAATGGACTTGACCACATTTTAGCATTCACAATTTATTTTGATGAAATAAAAAAATCTTCCCCGAAGGTTGATCAAATAGACAAAAATACCAAACCCCATTATTCATAATGTCATCTACGCCTTTATTCTGTGTCATGTGGTCGACCCGCGGTGTGACGTCTGTGATGACTAGCCTTCTATAGAACAGGGCTTTTAAATCGCTGAGAGTGCTTCAAGTCGTCTCAATATAATGAGGCAAGATTCAGTAAACTGCATTAGAGTATCACTTCATCATTGTTGGCTCAGAAATGATGCGTACAGTTCATTAATGTAGTTCACAATGTCCTTTCATTCGGTTTTCTCTCCCTCGCCAACCAGCCAACCAATTCATCAACTTTCTATTTAAATACAACAAAACATGGAACACTCCAATATAAACTTCAGTACACTGTATCCCAATATCCAGCTCTAATGCTGGCAGCACTTTGATTTAGTTTATTACAATAGCCTAAGATAACAAAAGCAGAATGGCCAACAGAGTCTGATGTCTTTCTAGTCCATCAATGATACAAAACACAGGAGGATTTCACTATACACCTGCACAAGCTGATGCAACCCATCACCAATCCCTTGCAAAATATTACCTTTTTGAAGCCATCAGTCTTGGTTGATTCCATGTTAGACGGATGTTGCCAAAGGCGCTTATGTCCCAAACTGGGCAGCAGTAGCCAATTGTCAGTTACTCCAATAGAGTATCAAGGTTGGAATCAAACCTCCTGCTGATTTCTTTTCGCACAGACAGTGCTGGAGTTGGGGCAGTTGGAACACTTTGAAGGCTTGGATAAACATGAAACGTTTCTTGTTAAATTATTAATATAAAATGTGAGCTGTATTGAAAAAATAATAATTGAAAAGTCAAAGTTGTGAGTGTGTTATGAGCATTGCAGAAAAACCCCTCTGTTGCTTGAGCCTCTAATGGCGGCTTGAAGCTTGAGTTTAGAAAACTGCTGCAAATAATTTATAGCTTTTGCTTTTTAAATCATTAACTCTGATTCTGGCTCAATGTTGGAAGAATTGTTCAGATCTGATTCATTCTGGCTTGCTTCTTCTCGCAATAGCAGTTGAGTATTGTGGGTACAATAGAATTTAAGAAATTGGCCATAACAAATAGAAAATTATATAAAACACATTTTTATATATTATATAAAAATATATACATATAGTGTCATTAAATTAATCCCTGCTTCCATGAGGATTCAAATGTAGCTCCACCCCCTCTGTTGTTGTACTGGGGTAGTTAATTGGCTGGCAGGCTTGGGTTATTCGACTAGGAGAGCTCTCAGTCACTACATGAATGAATATTGCACAATTATAAGAGACCTCCCAGATGCAGTGAATGAGGCTGTAGCATGAAGTCATCACCACACTAACATGTAGGAGGAGAGAGCAACAGAAATAGCTAAACCAATAGGAGGAGGAGGAAACATGATAATTTTGACACTTTGAAATGACTTATGGCTTCATTGCATTTTTTCATTGCAGTTTCCTGTTCCTGTTATATGATTTTTTTGTGCTCTTGATTTCCATTATATTTGCACAGGAAATATCTCTTCATGACGTCATATGTGAAAAATGTGGACCCAAATCCAGCTACTTTAGCAATAGTTGCTTTTGTAACCGGTGCAAAGAGCTAGAGGTTTATTTTAACACGGTGATGCACCATTTTAGCACTTTGCTTATCATTTGTTCACCCCTCCTTACTGAAACACGTCTGTATCTGCCTCTGACGAGTGAAAAACATTCTAGCAGAACAGATTTCCATAAAGTCCCACTACAGAAATAAACTCTAATTTTCAGCTTGGCCCTGTTCCTGCTCCTAAACTAGAGCGGGAAAGGCACACTTCACCTGTCACCCTGGCACGCAGTTTAGATCCGTCTATAAATACAATGATAAGACACCTACAGGATGCTGTGAGCCTTCCAGATAAAAATGGATTGGAGGAGTATTGACGTCAGACTGACACACACGCGCACACATGCACATAGTTAACACACACACACACACACTTATGGGCGTTCATATGTGAGTAGACCCGAGCACAAGCAGGCGCGCGCGCGTGTGTGTGTGTGCGTGTGCGCGCGCGCGCGCGCCTGCTTGTGCTCGGGTCTACTCACATATGAACGCCCATAAGTGTGTGTGTGTGTGTGTTAACTATGCACACACACACACACACACACACACACACACACACACACACACACACAC